ACGACACTGCTCCTTACATTTGCCTATGAGCCTGCAGGGTCGTAGCCGCTCTGTGATGTCCACACAGATGAGGGAAAAAAACACCAAGGACACGGGCAGCTCCGTGAAATAGTTGAACCTGCTGCCAGCATCCAGCTGCACCTACAGTTCAACGGCAACAGCAGAATTCCGTGTAAACGTCTTCCACCACTCTGACCGTAACCGTTCAGTAATGGGAGCGCAGTTATGAGCTCTCTTATGAGCTATCTTTTGTTTGACCGTGTGGAGGCAAAGCCATCCATCACTACTTAGGGTTTGGTGAGGGTAAGAACCCCTACTGCATCACAGTCTTGGAGCCGATGCTGCCAGAATCGGAAGGTGTACTTCAGGGAAAATAGCGGAGGGCTCAAGGGTGAAACTCATTAGTAAAGCAAATTCATCTGACAAATGAGGCAGGAATGAGGCGGGAGGAAGCAAAAACCGAAACTCTTCATTGGGATTCTTTTTCGCTGGAGTTCTTGCATTCCAAGTTTTATGAGTCAATTAAATTTTACTGCCCCATCATTACAGAGATGCAGCTGACTACGGCTAAAATGGGAATTATTAGATATGGAGATATGTTGTGAGTTTTTGCAGTGTGTGGATAACCCCGCTTTATGTTGTTGTTTAAATAAAGAAGGACTGAAAAGAAGGGAAAACATGGAAGTCTGGCTTTTTTCTTTTTGTAAGAGAGGTGGATGTTTGGGTTAATGGCCAATCTGTTCTTTTCACTGTTGGTTACTGAGTACCTTGGTCAGACGTCCGAGTCTCGTGACTGCCTTGTTCCTGCATTCTTTTAATTATAAAGCCGTCAAAGTTCATCTCTGTGAAGGGACTCGATGGTCACTTTGCACTTTAACTCAACTGCTTCACTGAATCATACAATATATTTAGGACTCTTCTACACAACGTAACGTTATTCTAATTTCATCTGTCGGAACAGTGACTTGCTGATTTAAACAGGGCTTCCAATGTTAGCTGTCTCTGGTCTAATAGCTGGTAGCTTATCCTTTTTTTAAAGTGGAGAGTAAAAAAAATTCAAATCTTATTTTTCCTCGTTCAGTAAT